CAGACTAAATTCCCTTTTAAAGGGTAAAAATTTTTTTTTTTTAAAAAAAGGGTTAACCCCTTTTCCCGTTTTTTTTTTTTTTTTTTTTTTTTTTTTTACAGACTCCATGGAATGATGACAATATTTTCTAATGTTTCCTAGCAACAAGGGTGACTCAACTTACCTCACTTTTTCCTACAGCATGGTACGTGAACATATTTTTCAGCTAGCTAACACTTTAAATTAATCTTCTGTAAGATTTAAATTTCTTTTGTAGACAAACAGAGGATTGTATTTTATTTGATGTAAACTATGATCAATAACATCAACAGAAACAAAGGCTTGAAATAATCTGTGTAAAGAATGAAGCTATGCTTTTCAATAATTCAACCATAATTTTACCAGGAAGTCCTTTGGGATAAAATCTCTTTTTGAGGGAAACCAACTGAACAGCATACAACCAAATAAGAAATGTTTGAATGAATGCATACGTGTGAGTTTCAGTTTTTGAAATCAATAATTGACAAATTGATTTGTTGATTACATTTACATGTGGGGGGATTCTTAAACGCCCATAAAGGGGGTGTACTTAAAGGGTTAAACAGAAGGAGGCGCAGCAGCGGTCAGCTCGTCTGGGTGGAGTGAACTTTAGACATGTAGTAGAGCTAATTAGCCCAACAGAGAACGTTATGGGAGAGTAGCAAACGCTCTAAAAGACAAAGAATATCCGCGGGAAAAGGAACAAGAGGCTGTGAGATGATGGGTGATGTGACTGAGGAGTCGCTGTTAAATTATTTCTTCTCTGCCGGTGGGAACTCCGGCAGAGTGAAAAATGCAGATATGCTGAAGACGTTTAAGCCCTTCATCGGCCACAGTGACCCGCAGTTACGCGGTAAGTAGACTGAATATGACATTACTAAGCTGAGACCACCGGGGTGATTATACGGCGTGATGCGGTCGCGCGGCTTGTCGGCGGAGGATGAAAGAATCGTCCGTCCGCGTGCGTCTGTCTGTCTGCTCAGGTTTAGTTTATATCTGGAAGCATTTTTGATAGACTATCACATTTATCTGTAATAGGCAGCCTTGTTACCATCTTTGCGTTGTTTCTGTCTGTAAAACCAACATCTGGTTAGCATTAAAAAGCACCCATTCACTCCCCCAACTCCTTTCAGCAGGAATTGTGTCATTTCCTTCCACGAGCTCGTTGGTTACAACATTGAGGACCCATCAGCAAAATGCAGTGTCACATGAACCCCCCCCCCCCCCCCCAAGTCCCTCCCAGGAGCAGCTCTGAGATCATTACAAACAGTACTGATAAAAATCTCTGTTTTTGTCCACACACATATCTTAGAATTATGCAAGATCGTCCTGAATCATTGCTAGCACTGCAGTTCTTCTCATTTTTGGACTCAAATGACTAATGGGCATTGAGTAACTCTTTGGACTTTTTCCCCACAAACAGAAACAGTTTAAGTAATAGCATAATTTTCCCAGCTAAAAAAAGGAGTTTCCAGGCTCTGGTATGACTGCGTTAGTTGTGGGAGCCAATGTAGTGGCCATACTGACTAAAGACAGGGGAAGTATATTCACATTGCTTGAGCTTTTTCCCATATTGTCACAGGTATATCAGTAAAGCTCAATGTGCTTTGTTGGGATTTTATCTGATGGAGTAGCATAAAGTTACACTTCATTGGGAAGTATGAGGACAGGATGCACAGCTGTTTTACATATCAAGAGGCTGAAATGTTGGAATGATCATACCAGTAAGACCTATTGAACATAATGAACAACAAGATAATGATCAAAACCAAAACAACCAAAGATTGTGACATGTCCACTAAGGTACAAGTTTGTACATGTGACATAAAACTGAAACAAGTATTTATAATAACTGTATAAAAAGGCATGTTAGCTTTTTTTCTAAAAAAAAAAAAAAAAGCTGCTTAAGAAAATACTGAAGATGCTTGTTTGGAAGGAGTACAAAATAATAAAAACTGTCCAAAAGTAGAAGAGAACAAGCAAAAATCCTTCCAGCTGCACAGCATCCAAAGACAGAAGGAGTGACTATCCAAACATTTAAAGCCTCAACCAAAAATAAAAATTATCAAAAGTCTGCAGAAAGACCAAATCAGAATTAATGTCATAGAGCTACTCCAACATGCTGTCACTATGAGATGCTAAGTCCTAGAAAGTAATTCCAGTCAAATTTAAGAAAATCAGTCCACCAGCTACAGAATGACTTCAAAAGAGGAAAAAATGAGGAACCAAAGTGTTGTCATCCCCAAAGTCCAGACGTCAAACTGTGTGAAATTCTGTAGTGTGACCATAAAGAAAAAGTGCTAAAAGAAATGCCTGCAAACCTTCAGTGAACTGAAGAGACAGAGGAGAGAGAGTCAAAATTCCTCTGCAACGTGAGACTCGTAAGTTTACACAGAGCACAACTGCTGAAGGTTATGGCTGCTAAAGATGATTCTGTAATGATTTAATATGTTTTATTTGACTCTGACAGGTTAAACCTAGAATTGAAGGATTCTTTTCTTTGTCCAAGAGTGAATTGGATAAAACAGATGGTCCAGGATGTAGTACTTTATCAACCAAAACCAGACACATGGCGCTTAGCGCCGATTCTGCAGTGCCTTTACTTTCCACACAGGCTGAAATAAAGACATGCTGTGTTTTAACCCTTTTAAATGATTATCTAAAGTGACCTTGTGTCGGCAGCATGTACAGTCCAGATGCCGTGTCAGCAGTGCAGTTGTTGACAGAGGTTTTGAGCGCTGCCATCTGACATGGCTGTCCAATTAGAAAAAGTGCTTCCCACACATTTTAAGTCTGTCGTAGCATGTGGCAGCAGCATTTCATGTTGTAATTGTAATGATAGTGTTTTAATCATAATTAAGTCCATGCATGACTGGATATAGACCCTTTAATGTGGGCGCTTTTTCATCAGCTTGCTAAAACTGGGACATGGTTTGGAAAATATGTGAAGGAGGGGGTTGTTGGATTGTTTGTGGAGCCCTTTGGCTAATAAATAACTAGTTTGTGTACTGTGTTACTGCGCTGGGCAGGAGGTTCTTTTGTTGGGACAGATGTAAACAGCTGCTTCCTGTGGATTTCCTGTTATGCGAGCTGCCCAACTGTCTCGTTGAATTTCCTTTTCTTGATGTGAAGCATCAACATCAAGAAAAGGAAATGCTTCACATGTGCCAAGATGGATGCCCAGGTTTACCACAGGCATGTAGGGAATACCTATGTTTGCAAAGTGTTCTTAGTCACACATCCTGCATAAGTCAGACATATCTGCTCTGAGAGGTAAACAAAAAGCTTTGACTGATGGGCTTCCATAGTACAGATAAGTTGAGGCTTTAGAAATGACTCAGGTTTTTACCACTGGGCTGCACACAGACTGGACCATTGTTTATGTTGAGCGGGAAGATACTTCCACTCTGTTTAGATTAAGAGTTGTGAACCCACACGGGCAGATGATATACAGTTTCTTTGCAAACTTTGTTTTGGAAAAAAAGTCACACCATGTTTTCTCTGACACTCCTGCATGAAAACATGGGCAACCAATTGCCTTCAGAAGTCACCTAATCAGAATATTAGTAATAAACATGTGTGTAATATATTTCTTAGTCTTATAATTGCAGCTGGATGTTTTTTAGAGAACCTTATGGGACAAGCAGCACTATGAAGACCAAAGGAACACACCCAGGGTATCTGGATGCAGAAACCTGTCTTAAACTGCAGGTTTCAGCAAGTCAAATTGAAGACTTCTTAAGACCTTTTTAATGCCACCTTGAATGAAGTTTAAGACAAAAAAAAACTACAAATATAGGGGATGGTTGTGTAGTCCTACTATAATACACTACATTTGGCTTTCTACAGCATTAACCCCATAGTGCCAAGTTTAAATGTTTCTTTGCACAAATGCTCCTAGCCTAATACGGGTTGGCAACAAAAGTGAGCCAGTTTCGAAAACAAACGTCATTCAGCCAACTGCCAATAAATTTATCCATAAATTTACCCTCTTGGACGATAAACATATGGATAAATGTATCCATAAAATGTGTCCATACATTTTTATGGATAAAAATTTATCCAAGAGTTTGATTAGCAGCCAATTAGCTTCAGCTTCAAACGCCTCAAGTCACAGAATGCAACGAAGACGTCTGAGTGCAACTTAAACTCTTGGCCAGCAGAAATGTCCCAAAAAACATTTGCAATTAAATAGTCCTGCCATGGCAAAATTTACAATCTGTGATAAACGTCTTTAAGGCCAACTTACTTAAAAAAAAAAAAAATAACTCAACACTTTTTAAAGCTTTACTTTTTAAATTACATGAATTTAAGATTCCGTATTATCCCAAAGCATGGCCCCATTATGCTTTGGGATATGAAAGCCAATCTGATATGAGAGGCAGTTGAACAAATCCCACACTTTGAAAAGACCTGGTTTAGTCTGGTTTAATGCATTTAGTATCTCAGTGTAACAATAGCCCAGTTAAATACCACGTCTGTTGTGTATAAATGGTATCAAAAGCAACTGTGTGCCACACTTTTTAAATTTTTTAATTGTGAAAGTTTTAAAACCACATATTTTCTTTCTATGTCATAATTAAGCACTGCTTTGTTTTAAAAAAAAACTACAAAACAAATAACTTACATTGCAGTTTGTGACAAAATGTAAAAATAGTAAATGGGAATATTTTCTCATGAAACTGTGTGTGCGGTATGGCTCAACCATCAGTGCAGGTTCAAACTTTTTGACCTCTCATATTTTCTCTGCAGCTAAATACAGAGAGGAATTCAAGCTCATCATCGACCGAATCGCTGTGGTGAAGTCAGAGAATGTAAGTGAATATTTTTACCTTTTGTGGAAAAAAACACTGTTTAGGAAAAAATTTCCCATTAGATTTGGGAGGAATGCTGACTCAGAACTGGCATATGTTACAACCAAGGAGTTAGAGTACATGTGTCAAACTCAAG